TTGGGCCTTCGGTGATTCTACCATTTTCTACTGTATTATCTGTACCAAAAAATATGAAATTTATTATAAGAAAAAGTGTTTTAAGGTTAGATTTTTGTGTATAAGTTAGCCAAGAACTAGTAAACCATTATTTAAGAAAATGAGGTCCTCCAAATTACTTATAAGCTGAGTTACAATCACAAAGAAGTGAGTGACAATGTCTGAACATGTTAGAAATGAAACTCCTCAGATAAAAAGGTATAGAGAAAGTTTAGAATAGAGTAACGAAAAAAAATATTACATTACATCACAGTTCTTGAGATACATATAACTCTATTGAAATCTTTGATCGAAGCCACTAAGTATTAAAAATATAGAGAAAGATCACAGTATTAGTTATATTTTGTTTCAACAAAGGCTTTCTCACTATTAGTTATATGTTGTAAAACAACATAAGAAACACATTTGTTACTTTAGATTATATGTAGATATCTCACTTGTTTGAGATTATGAGCATGAATACATTGTTATGGTGAAAGACTGGAAATCAATGAAGAAACCGTCAAACAACCAATCTGGTAAATCATGGAAGATGTTTAAAGTTTAGGTAGTATCTAAATGTAACTGTTTAGATCTAATCAAAAACACTTGTGTCATAATTCTTGTCCTTTTCAGTGCTTCTATCTTTTAGCCATCAATAATGTGCATCATTAATTAGGCAAACCCCATCCTTAGCAATCATATTTCACTCTAGCTTCATGATTTCCAGTTTAACATTCTAAATCAGCCAGTAAAACAACCAAACAAATAGCCACTCGGCATAGTCTATCTCAAAATAAAGACTAAAGAAGTTACCGTTGAACAGAGACAAATGGCGTGGACATCATAATTTGAGAATCAAGTTTGATGTCATTCAAGAAATCAAGCTTTCAGCTTCCTTCAGTATTTGCAACGTCTAGCTCTGTTCTCCAACTTCGACTAAGTTGTTGAACGGTCATGCGAAGGGTTGAAAGCATGTTCCCGATGGTAAGAGCCAAGAGAAAATCAGACAGTATTGTTGATGGATTATAACACAAGACATCAAAGAAAATGATCAACTAATATGCAACTTCTAAAAATGCAGATGAGTGTTGATCAAATTACCTGTATAGTCTCTGTCCTCTGATCAACATAAGAGTTTAGAAGCACAAAAGGAACAGTATGAATTTCTGAACACATGCAAAAACCAGGACACATCAATTGCACAATCATATACTCTTGCTCAGATCTACATTTTTTTAATGACTAAATTAGAGAGATAGCCACAATATTTCTGTATTGAAACTTGATTTACTGAGAAAACTAAGTTAGGAATTACATAGTACATGTAGCTCTGTTAGAAACAAATTTGTTGCTAAACCATGCGTATTAGAAGAAAAAAATGTTAGATTACTTACATTAATTATTTCTTCAGTCTTCATATCTTTCAGCTCAAATAGCCAAATACGAATCTAAGCTTTCTGCATGAAAAATACAAAAGGACCAGAAGACGAATTAGAAGAAGCGTTGGTAACTCACATCCATTGTTCTAGAGCTCACATTTTGAAGAAAACTTAAACTCAAGTGATTGATTCAAGGCAAAACCACATGAAGACAAAGCAAATCCAGTGAAAAATAGGAAGTAGGCATACCAAAAAATCTTTAACCTCAAGTGATGGATCTCAGAGGAAGTAGGCACAAAATTTTTTAGACGTCTGCATCACTTATTGATATTTTAAAAAATTGGGGATTTCAAGAGCGTAGTTGAAAAGAGTTAATAAACAGAAAGTAGTGGGAGAGATGCTGGAGGGAGTAAATGGAGATGTTAATGAGAAATGTGGATGAAGAGGACAAACGTTACAGAGGCGTTATCACTACAACGATGCAGAAAAGAGGATTAGAGAAGACGGCGGTATACCGTAAATATAGGCCATAAATGGGATATAATTTAAGTGACACAGATAAAATATGGCTCATTGACTGGTTTGTATTTTTATCAACGAAAGTTACATACTTGAAGAGGCTTACGTGTCAAAATTTGCCTCTAGGTATATAGATGATGTGGACATCTTAAGAAGGGAGAGAAGTTTGTTTTATTATATAAGATTCTCCGGGCGCATGTATGAAATAAAATTTATATACTAAAAAATAGTTGAATACTAACCTTGATCATTCAACTATCGTGTCATAAGTCCTCGTATAGTCATGTACCGTCAATATAAGGTTGTTGAGTTGGGTCATATTGATATTTTTTAAAACCTATTTAATTTACATTGGACTTCATGATATCATCGGGATGTTAAAATTCATCCTTTCACTTCACTAAAAAGAATTTTATTTCTAAAATAAAATTTGTGATCCGCACTTGCGCTAAATGAACATTAATTATGTATTAGTAAAGCAACATTAATTATTTATACAAATTATTTATACATATTATTTTTTTATTTTTTTTTCATTTACGTATTATGCAAAAATAAATATATTGAATAATTGTGAGTCGAATAACTATTATGTATATAATTAAATTGGAGTAAGCACATAAAGAAAAATAATCTCTTTTTTATTTACAATAAGTTTTGTTGGTAAAAAATCAAAACATTCATTTATTTATTTTATAAGGTATATAAATAAAATTAAATAATATTGAAATAGATATATAGTATATTTATTTAAAGGTTTCTATATCCAAATTTGAGTTCGAAACCCAAGAAACATAATTTATTGCATATTATAGGATGCAAACTTATCGGAGGTTCTAGAGTGTTGCAAACAGAGTCGTTCGTTGTGGCCATCTGCTGTGGAGTGGGTATGTCTATTGAAAGTGGCATACATGCAGAACTGTTCGTCTATCTAAGTGTTCCAGAGAGAGCTTCATTGTGGAATCATCTGTGGAATTGTTCAACAAAATCACATATGTTGCAGGTAATTGAACATCACATATAATAGAGTTAAAGATTATATGATGATGTAATTATTAACAATTTTTTTTAAAAAAATATATAGTATATTTTAATACAAATATTTATTAATTGAGCCTTTGTACACCTATAATTTTATTAGCATTTTTATATTTTATGTAACCAAAATATTATTTTTATTAATATGAATATTTGTTAATTGAGGTTTCCTCTTCAATGTAAATTTTGAAATTAACATTTTTATGTATTTTATAAGTGATATTTATTTCATTTAGATGATACTGAAATATATACATATATATAATATATTAATATGATTATATATTAAATAAGATTTCATATTTATATGATTTGATAATCATTTGTATTTTCTTATAACAAAAAGTTAAATCCGTATTCACAAAATTTTCATTGTGGAATTTTTAATAGTCTTAGTAATTTGTAATCGTTTACAAAATTCAAAATATAGCATATAAGAGAAAATTTCAATTTTTATTATATAGTTGATATGATTTTTCAATTTCTTTTAAGAATATAAAATTAAACAAAAATGATGGAGGTTACCAAAATTGTTATAAAATCTTTTATATTCAAAATCATTATTTTTTTTTTATATATATATATATATATATATATATATATTAACCATATTAGGTATTTCCATAATTTTATCTAAGGAAAGAATATAAAATAATATATGGTATACTATTAATTAATTTGATAATTAATTTAATAAAAAGCATAATATATGCTTAAGTGGATCAATTTTTTCTAAGGATTCTAAAATTCATTATGATGATGACATGTGACTATTAAAACATGTTGTAATGTTTTTTGATTAATAGTGGTATGCCAGACGAGAATGCGAGTAAGGCTTCTCGACGTGAAAGTTTTATATACATTTTTTCATCGTATGACTCAACATATTTCATCGTATAACAATTTATGTTTAATAGTTTTGCATGACTTCAACTTTATAATTTTAATATAATTTCATGAATTTTTAGAAGATATATATAAATATTTTAAATTGATCTCTCAAAAGTAGAAGTCTTTTAAATAATTCATACTCATGTGGTTATTTTCTATTATTTTTATTGATGAGAAACTCTTTTTAAAATTATTCTTCTGGAGATGGTCTCTACATAGATCACTTGGTACAACTTGCAAGTCGAGAAATAACTGGAATTCATCAGGTGAACTGAAGTTTTACAATCAGGCATTTTTTTTAAGACTGGCAATTTAGGTTATGATTTTTATTTTTTAACCACAAAGCTTTATTAGACTAAATCATAAATAAGCGACTTAGGTTATGATGTTATAGCTTGTAACCTATGTTGCATGGAAATTTTTGTTATTTTAAAATTTTATTTGATTGATGTTTAATAATAACTATTTTTATTTTTCGTATGATTATATAGAACGTCTATTGATTTATTTGTATTCTTAGATACACTAAACATAATTAAAATTAAATTCTCATATTAATAAATTGTATATATGCATATGTTTATATATTTATAGATGTTTCTAAAACGTTTCGTAAGCAAAAAAAAAAAAAATCATAAATCAAGTTTCTACGTTTCAAAAAGTTTCATTTCCGCGTATCCGTTTCCGATTCCATGCAACCTAGCTTGTAACTGTCAAAAAATTTATTAACTTAAAATTCATTAACAAAAAGAAAAACAATTATTTCGCCCGTAAAGTCTTATTGAATTTGTTGGGCTGTTTTAAAATTTTTATTTTTCCTTCTGATCTACAAAGACCTCCTAAACCCGTTTCTCCTTACAGAAGTTACTGTAGTATATAAATCTAAACAGGTACTAACATGTTATTGATGTTTAGTTTGATACATTTTCTATGAGTTTTCTTAAGCCAACATCTTGATTCATGAAATCAATAATATACAGAGCTTTGACCCGAAATAAGACGATCAAAGAATCTTAAACCAATCTGAGGCTCTGAGCTCACTTAAAAAAACTAAGACTAAACCAAACTGATAATACTAAAATACCAAAAGTCAAACAGTAACCAATTCTTAGACGCCACATTTTGACCGGTCAAACTTTCAAAATCGAATGGACGGTCACGATTGTCGGGTCAGCATCCTCTTCATTTCAGCAAAGGAGAGTCCTTAACGCCGGCTGAATCAAAGATCAACTTACTACTTTCTCTCGTGCTGACCACGCTCCATTTCCAGTCTCAGATCTCGAAGATGGCAACGAAAATCTCTCAGCTTGTTTGTGTCTCCTCCACCAATCGCCAATTCCACTTCCGGAGCCGATCGTTTCCACGCCCGGAGGTAAATTTATCGAGTATCGCCTGAAAAGGACGTAACTTTCTTCATCTCGATTTGGTTATAATGTTGCCCATGTCAAAAATTTACGAGCTTGATTGATTTTAGTCGAACCCAGATTGAAACAATCTTATCCATAGTTCTTTGCTTGTCTGCAATGTGCTTAGAATAGGATTGATAGGGGCACTAGTGGCTAATGCACTTCAAATTGTGTGCAGTCTTTTGTAGTTAGAAGCGTTGATGGGAATAGCTCAGAAACACCAGCTTCTCTGAGCTATACAGCTGAGGTTTCTAAACCTTTTGTTGAGAGAACATCAAAACCCTATTCCACAGTGGATGAAACTGGTACCAGTAAAGAGATTATCACAGAGCCAGTAGAGGAACAACATGTTGCCACAACGCAGCCAAAAAGAGCAGCAAAGATCCATGACTTCTGTTTTGGCATTCCTTATGGTACTTTGTGACACTCTCTCTCTCTCAAAACTTTGATCTCAAATCTTTTAGGATTATTGAGCTTCCCTTAAAGCAAGTCCTTCGTTTTCTATACGAGAGTAATTATTGTCAGTGTGACTCGTTGACGTTAATTTAGCTCCATAAATGTCACTTGCTCAGGTGGTCTCGTTATGAGTGGAGGGTTGCTTGGATTTGCATTTTCACGAAACTTGACAAGTTTAAGTACTGGGGTTCTCTATGGTGGTGGCCTTCTAGCCCTTAGTACTTTGAGCTTAAAGATTTGGCGACAGGGGAAATCCAGTTTCCCGTACATACTAGGTCAAGCAGGTAATCTGTGTTCAGCAACAATTGATTGGTGTTTTGTAATCACTTCTTTCATTCCTTAATGTAGTAAGAGAAACTAGTTTCTTACACATGACAAGTGGATATATGAAAATCTATGCAAGTATACTGTGTGATACTAAGAAGTGGTCATCTCTGAACGATCATTATTTACACATGAATGTTTACCTGAATGCTTCTGTTCATTGATGAAAACTTTTGTGCTTACTCATTCTTTTGAAACCCTAAATTTGCAGTGCTTTCAGCTGTTGTCTTGTGGAAGAACTTCACAGCTTATTCTATGGTAAATCATCATCGTTGTGATCATGCTGATTGTTTAATGTTTGCTTGCTTAACTTCCACTGCTTAATAATATCCTTATGTAGACTAAGAAGCTGTTTCCTGCTGGGATTTTTGCTCTCGTCAGGTGAGAATTCTTTTTGTGATCTATAACAGTCGGAGTCTGATGTATCTAACTTTTAGTAGCTTCATGTAACCTTGTTGTTTATGTCTTTTTCATTGCAGTGCTGCCATGTTGTGTTTCTATTCGTATGTGGTGCTCTCTGGAGGAAACCCACCTCCAAAAAAGTTGAAACCATCTGCTAGTTCTTCATACTGAAGAAGCGTCACATTGGTTAGATTAGAAAGAATAAAGATGTTGGATTCTTGGTGAACTTTATATACTTTGAGAGGGATTCTTTACAGTGCACAAAAAAAAGTATTAGAAGTTTTGTTTTACTAGTGACATGCTATGATTGTTATCTTAATCGAATTTGAAATGCTCAAATGTATATCAGAAACTTATTGTAACGACCCGGATTTCGGTTTCGGAAATTATTAACCGGCTAATCCCGAACTCACTCCCGAAAGCCCATTTCTTCCCTTATAAATTCCAGCTTCAGCCCATCAATTCATTTTCTTACAAAAATCAGAAATTAGAGAGAGAAAGGGAGAGAGAAGAGAGAGAGTTCTAGAGTGAGAAAGGGGAAATCTTTGTTTCTGAGCCATCACCGGAGCTCGTCCGGACCACCACTCATCGGCACCAGGCAGAGCTCATCACCACCGTTCACCACAGCCAAAGTAACCGGAAATCGCAGTGAGTTGAAGCTTTGTTTTCTCCGTTTAGTAAATCGTCGATAACTTCTAAACCGTTGCGAATCTCGTTAATGCAAGGCAACCACCGTGTTCTACTCGTCGAGACGAAGCCGTAGACACCAAAAACGCCTCAATCGGAGTCCGGACGAAGCCACACGCACCCCCGCAAGATCAACCTCCGCGCCCGCGTGAAACGCACGCGCCGCCGCCACTCGCCGGAGCCGCCGCCGGACCGCCGTCTCGCCGCCGCCGGAGCCGCCGCCGGACTGCCGTGTCGCCGCCGCCGGACCACCGCAGCCCCGCCGCCGGACCACCGTTGCCGCCGGTGACCGTCGCCGGTGACTCGGTCAATTCGGCCGAGTCAACTCAGCGAGCCAACTCGGTTGACTCGGTCAACCGGTTGGTTTGACTGGTTGGACCGGTTCAATTGAATTACGATTTGGTTAAGGTAAACCGGTGGTTAAAATCAATTGAATTTTGGTTAGGAGTAAACCGATTTGTAATTGATTTGGATCCGGTTCAATTGAAATCGAATCCGGTTAAGGAAAACCGGTTGGTCCAATTCGATTTTAATTTGGTCAAGGGTTGACCGGCTTGGGTCAGAGTTGACCGGGTTGACCTTTGACCAGCGGGTTGACTTTTCCGTAATCGTCCGTTTTCGATCGTTCGAAGGTCATTCTGACTCGGAATTTCGATCTGATTTCAGATTTGGGATCTATTTGAGCAGCTGGAGTTCATAGATACCATTTTTTCCCCAGTTGCTAAGGTGANTTTATTTCTAATGTGTTCCGTCTTTGTGAATTAAGTCTAATTTAGGGTCTGATTGGTGTCTGCTTGTTTAGGTTTAGAATTCTTTGCATAAACCGGAATAGGGTGTCAGATGGTTCAACATTGATTGCTTCGCTTAATGTAAATCATTTAGTTAGAATTGTTTGGCCGGATATGGAGACGGACTTCTGTATGCCGGATTATTTTAGGGTTATGGACAACTTTAGTCGATCGGTTGTGCCGTAACTTAGGGTCGATAAATCGTCTACGGGCGGTGCCGGGGCACTATCCTCAGTGGTTGTTATGTTGTTTAGCCCTAGTGTGGGCGGTGTTTTTGGCCTGTTAGTGGGCAGCGAGTGCGTCTCGCTAGGACCATTGCTTGTTTGCGTGGGTACTTTAGGTACCGTGTCTGACATGCATTAGAATTAATTTATATTTATTTGGAGTGCTATGTCTGGGTCTACGGACTTCGGGGTAGCATCCCATACCTCACTGAGTGACTCCCCAGTCGCTCACCCCTCTTTCTTCCCATTTCAGGTGAGACAAGCAATAAGGTGATATTTGGACGGACTTGGTGGTATTGGACTTTTTATTCGGATTTTTATTTGGGCTTGGGCGAGTGTAGTTGGGCTTATGGATTTTTATTTTACGAGATATTATTGGTGGCCCGTTGTCCCTAAAGAGAGGGAGACGGGTGTCACCTTGATATTTGAGGACGCGTCGGGGGTGACACGCTGTACTCCAGATAGGAGGTGACAGGTGTTACAGTTTTTGGTATCAGAGCGGGTTCCATCCCGGTTCTGTCCCGGGATGGCGGTCAGGGGATTCGGTTTTCAATGTTTTCAAAAAATATATATATAAATAATAATATATATAATAATAATTTTTTTTTTAAAAAAAGAGTATTTTGAAAATTCTTTTAGCACTATTCTATCTAGTAACCACTAACTTCAATTGTCTCTTTTTATGACGATGATAAAGTCATCGTCATTCGTCTTTCGGCTACCAGAGGTCTACCAGATGTTCAGCAGAGATGTGATGCCGCAGTTTTGTCATAGTTCGCCGAGGTTTATTGGTTTCTTCATTCTTTCTCCTATGTTGCACTGGAGTGGATATGTGACGTTTTTGCCATCACCCAATTTCAAGCCGTCGTCCCACGAGTTTCTGATGTATGAGTTTTTGTGATGTGAGTTTTGAGCCATGGATTGGCGTGTGATGTTTTGTGTATGAGTATATTGACTATTTTGGAGATATGCTTTGTTGTAAACTCGTGGAGATCGCTTTTGGAATTAGGGTGCAGCNTTTGTGATGTGAGTTTTGAGCCATGGATTGGCGTGTGATGTTTTGTGTATGAGTATATTGACTATTTTGGAGATATGCTTTGTTGTAAACTCGTGGAGATCGCTTTTGGAATTAGGGTGCAGCATCTAGCGTTGTGGTTTATATTGGAGTTACATTTGGCATGTTTGCCGGTTTCTGGTTTTGTTGACCGCTTCAGAGATGTATCAGCTAGGTAAGCTGGCATAAGATGTGGAGAACTATTCATGTTCTTCGAGTTTTACTAGTTATGTTTGGAGGTCGCGTTATTCAGAGATTCGTCAGAGATGGAGCTGAGTTTTACGGCGCCAATTTTGAGATAAAATTATTGTCATGTTATCAAGGAATATAGAGTTGCTGAAGAAAATGGTTTATATTTCTGGAGGAGATGAGAGTTTTATTGCTTCCACACTACGTGTTGAGGAGTTATTGGATACAAGAGCATGCAGAGCATTTGTGGATTGTATTGGGTAAGCTAAGAGATTATCATATGTTTACTAAGTTGAGTAAGTGTTTCGTCTGGCAGAAGAAGATTAGATTTTTGTGTCACGAGGTTTCAGAAGCAAGAGTTGTTATTGATCCAGAAAAAGATTATTGCAGTTCTAGAGCGGTCATCACCTAAGAGTGCTTCTGCATAGATTAGTAGATTTGGCGGGATACTACAGGAGGTTCATCATTTTTGAAGATGGACTTGGATTCAGAGTACCATCAGATTACCATAGCTGGGAAGTATGTACAGATTACGGTTTCACATATAAGATGGATAATATGAGTTGGAAATAATATTATTGGGTTGAAGAATTCACGGATAGCATTCATGAAACTTAAGGATAAATTCTTTTGCGAGCACTTGGATAAGTCAATGGTGGTATTCATCGGCAACACCGTGATTATTGTTGGACTAGAGAGAAGTAAGATGAGCAAAGGCATGTTTTGAGTTTAATATAAGAAGGTCAGATCATTGCATAAGCAGCGAAGAATTTGTAGATTACGAATATGGAGCATTTTGGAATATAAGTTAGAGATTTTTGGAGTGATCACCAAAGTTGTCTTTTACATTGACTATGGAATATCTACGTGGAGATGCATTAGCATTGTGGGAGAAAGTACGAATAAGCCATTGGACCTAACAGACTTACCTTGAGGATTTGTTAAGAGGTGTCATTCGGAAGGAAATCTGATCAGAAAGTTTTTGGATAGAATGCGAGTAGAGATTCACCCATGAGCGGTGTTGTCACTTACTTCAGATTAAGAATCTCAGTGGAGAAAGCTACCGAGCAGAGAATGAGTTTGAGTTATTAAATTGCCCCCGTTACAATCACTGTCATGAAGAGAACTGTATTAAGATTTATGTTGTGGTAAGTTGGAGCATATTTTGCGGCCAAATATTCAGTGCGCGATTTGGAGTTAGCATCAGTTGCATCGGCTTTAGAGTTTTGAGGATCATCATTGTATAGCAAGGAAGTTCAGATTCGTGGGGATCATCAGAGTCTGAAATATATGTGCGCATTCATTAAACTTGTACTTTAGGACGTGCAGATGGATTGAGTTGGTAGCAGTCTACAATTTGAATATAGAATGACATTTGGTGAGGCCAACCAAGTGGTAAATACTTTAACTAGGTGCATGAGAGATATGTCAGGGATCACAAAGGATCAAGAGTTACTGGAACGCTTACAAGCCTTAAAATTATGTGCAGTTCAGTAGAGGAGGATACAGTTGGCATTGAAGCATTGGAGCATTGGAACATACAAATTTACTAAGGATATTACACCAAACTCAAGATAACTATATGGATTAGTTAGGTGGATCGAGGTTGAGAGTGATGTACATCATACAGTGTTGGATCAGGTTGTTCTTGTAAGAGAATCGAGTTGGTGTGTTGGATGTTGAGCTGTTAAGAAAAAGGATCTTACAGCAAACACATCACTCGCGTTTCTATGTCCACCCGAGGAACACCCAGGAGTACAAGATATGAAGTGTTACTATCATTGACCTAGTTTTGAAAAGATTGTAGCATTGCGTCGCAGTGTCTGATGGTTATGTTTGAAGACCGGATACCTATCAGGTTATTGCTGAGTTTGCTTTGGCCAGAGTGGAAACGAAACCTCGGGATTATGGATCATCACGTGTAGAGAGGATATGAGGGATTGTGGATGTATTCACTAATTCAGTTATTTTCCAAATAGTTGTGAAGGCAGTTTGAGCTGGTCAGCTGGACACACATCAGAGAGATTGTAAGGATTGCATGGAATTCTTGTGAGCATTGTATTGGATCGAGATGTTAATTCACGTCTACATATGGAGAAATTCTTAGAAGGCGTTTGGAGCAAAGATCTATTTGAATACTACTTATCATCCAGAGACAGAGGGTCATTTGGAGAGGACCAGTCAGAGTTTTGAGAATATATTCAGAGATTGTGTTTTACAGTGGAAAGAAAGTAATGGAAGCGTCTACCTCTAGCGGAGTTTGCCTACAGTGACAGTTACAATTAAAATATTGAGACAGCGCCATATGAAGCTTTTCATGATAAGTCTGAACAAAAGTGGGGGAGCAACAAGTTGTAAAACCATCAATAGTTCAAGAAATGATAGAGCAAGTAGACATGCTCAAAGTTGGCTTTGGGACGTCTATGATCGTCAGAGAGTATGAAGATAAGAATCGTAAGGAGTTGGAGTTTCAGGTAGGCGATCATGTACACCTGAAAATAAGAACTTTTCAAGAGATATAAGACTTAGAAGCTAAAGAAAGGTAAACTGAAATATATTGGACCATATTTCATTGTGGAAATGATTGGAGTGATCGCTTACAAATTGGAGAAGTTGCTTTGGGATTGGATCTATCAATAGAGCTATCAGATTCTAGTTGTTGATTTGAGGAAGTCGTGAGAGAGTCAGAGCTTTGTTGCAGCAGCCGCCAGATGACTTTAGAGGGAATGTATGCATTTTATCAACCAATGGAGATTATAGATCGTCAAATGGAAGCATTTCAGAGAATGTTGCTAGTGTCTGGCAGAGTTGTTTAGAGAGAGAGATAAGGTTCACAAGAAGATCTCAGAGACCGAGCATATTGATTATTTGAAGTTTTGTTGTGATGGTTTTGGGCAGTCAACGGAAGACTCGAATTCGGGGACGAATTCCTTATTAGTGGGGGAGAATTGTAACGATCCGGATTTTGGTTTCGGAAATTATTAACCGGCTAATCCCGAACTCACTCCCGAAAGCCCATTTCTTCCCTTATAAATCCCAGCTTCAGCCCATCAATTCATTTTCTTACAAAAATCAGAAATTAGAGAGAGAGAGAAAGGGAGAGAGAAGAGAGAGAGTTCTAGAGTGAGAAAGGGGAAATCTTTGTTTCTGAGCCATCACCGGAGCTCGTCCGGACCACCACTCGTCGGCACCAGGCAGAGCTCATCACCACCGTTCACCACAGCCAAAGTAACCGGAAATCGCAGTGAGTTGAAGCTTTGTTTTCTCCATTTAGTAAATCGTCGATAACTTCTAAAACGTTGCGAATCTCGTTAATGCAAGGCTACCACCGTGTTCTACTCGTCGAGACGAAGCCGTAGACACCAAAAACTCCGGACGAAGCCGCACAGGCCCCCGCAAAATCAACCTCTGCGCGCGCGTGAAACGCAAGCGCCGCCGCCACTCGCCGGAGCCGCCGCCGGACCGCCGTCTCGCCGCCGCCGGAGCCACCGCTGGACTGCCGCGTCGCCGGAGCCGCCGCCGGACTGCCGTGTCGCCGCCGCCGGACCACCGCAGCCCCGCCGCCGGACCACCGCAGCCCCGCCGCCGGACCACCGTTGCCGCCGGTGACCGTCGCCGGTGACTCGGTCAACTCGGCCGAGTCAACTCAGCGAGTCAACGCGGTTGACTCGGTCAACCGGTTGGTTTGACTGGTTGGACCGGTTCAATTGAATTGCGATTTGGTTAAGGTAAACCGGTGGTTAAAATCAATTGAATTTTGGTTAGGAGTAAACCGATTTGTAATTGATTTGGATCCGGTTCAATTGAAATCGAATCCGGTTAAGGAAAACCGGTTGGTCCAATTCGATTTCAATTTGGTCAAGGGTTGACCGGCTTGGGTCAGAGTTGACCGGGTTGACCTTTGACCAGCGGGTTGACTTTTCCGTAATCGTCCGTTTTCGATCGTTCGAAGGTCATTCTGACTCGGAATTTCGATCTGATTTCAGATTTGGGATCTATTTGAGCAGCTGGAGTTCATAGATACCATTTTTTCCCCAGTTGCTAAGGTGANTTTATTTCTAATGTGTTCCGTCTTTGTGAATTAAGTCTAATTTAGGGTCTGATTGGTGTCTGCTTGTTTAGGTTTAGAATTCTTTGCATAAACCGGAATAGGGTGTCAGATGGTTCAACATTGATTGCTTCGCTTAATGTAAATCATTTAGTTAGAATTGTTTGGCCGGATATGGAGACGGACTTCTGTATGCCGGATTGTTTTAGGGTTACAGACAACTTTAGTCGACCGGTTGTGCCGTAACTTAGGGTCGATAAATCGTCTACGGGCGGTGCCGGGGCACTATCGTCAGTGGTTGTTATGTTGTTTAGCCCTAGTGTGGACGGTGTTTTTGGCCTGTTAGTGGGCAGCGAGTGCGTCTCGCTAGGACCATTGCTTGTTTGCGTGGGTACTTTAGGTACCGTGTCTGACATGCATTAGAATTAATTTATATTTATTTGGAGTGCTATGTCCGGGTCTACGGACTTCGGGGTAGCATCCCATACCTCACTGAGTGACTCCCCAGTCGCTCACCCCTCTTTCTTCTCATTTCAGGTGAGACAAGCTATAAGGTGATATTTGGACGGACTTGGTGGTATTGAACTTTTTATTCGGATTTTTATTTGGGCTTGGACGAGTGTAGTTGGGCTTATGGATTTTTATTTTACGAGATATTATTGGTGGCTCGTTGTCCCTAGAGAGAGGGAAACGGGTGTCACATTGATATTTGAGGACGCGTCGGGGGTGACACGCTGTACTCCAGATAGGAGGTGACAGGTGTTACACTTATGTTGGCTTAATCACAAGTCAAAAGCCTCCAAACACTTTGATTAGATAGTCTACAGTAGCTTGGGCTAATCTACTTATCAAAATTAGAAGTATGAATGCAACATTAAATAAAACTTTTGCAAAGATGACCAAATGTGTACACATATTTCGTAAGTGAAGGCAAATTCAAAGCAATTAAACAATTGATTCTAGTAAAAAAAAAAACAAAGCGGGGATTATCTAGCTGCTAGCCCCTGTGTGTGTTCTATAAGAGCTGAGTCAGTAACTTGCAAGTCCGTCCTGATAAGGCTTTGGTGTGGTTAATCAATTGCTCATGCCTGCATAACGTTGGGAACGAGTTTAGATTATAGAATTTCCAGACATTAATGATTAAGATAATATGGTATTCTTCTTACACGATGGGCTGAGTAGGCTCCATGATTACGGCTCCTGACTCGGAATCAATCTTGGCATCAAACTTTAAGGTGCGGATAAGGTGCACAATCCATCTCTCTGCCTCTTCATAGTTCAGATTCAATTTCTCAGCAAGCACCCTGACAAAGCCATGAGATTGTCAAATATGAATACAAGCCAGGACCTTGGAGCTTTGATGCATAAGAAAAATTAAAAAAAAATTACTAAAACAGAGCAATCATGGGAAGTGGAAACGAATAAAGTTAAGCAAAACATGATAAGTTACCCCATGTCAATTCTCTGATGGATTCTGCAATAGGTTTCGAAGATAAAGAGCCGAGCATTTTCAAGAAACTCATCTTTCAGCGGTACAGTTGAAATAAGTTTCCATCATCAACTCGCTTTCCAAGGAATGGATCATTCACAATAACCTACATCATAGTAACATGTCAGACTCCTGATTATATTATCCAAAGATAAAAAATACACGTGGAGGGGTTTACTTCTTCACACTCTTTCATCTTCTTTCGAGCCCCCATCGAAGTCATAACTGACAAATACACATGCCAAGAACTCAACAATTGGATCTTTGTACGAGTAATGCTCTTGTTGAATGACGTTAATGAAGTCTTTTAATTGAGGCCTTGTCCTTTTGATGACAATGAATGCAGCAGTTGCCAAGTAACGCAGCAAGTGTGGAGCAGTAGTTTGTATGGCATTCATATACCTAAGTACATATATAATATAGTAGTATACAATACTGTATGAACTAAAAGACACAATCCTAACAAAAACGTTTAAACTTACTTGTCTTGAATAAAAAGATCAATGATTTGAGTCCTTCCGTTATCATGGTTAAAAAAGATGTAGAGGCCCCAATGCATCAATCAAATCCTGTTCTGCACCTGGTTTAACGGCGATGCAAAATTCTGAAACACCAAAATGAGATGCTAGCTTCCCCCACAAGGCACTCATACTTCTCTCAAGGTAAGAGAAAAGGGTCCTATACTGGTAAAGATAATCAGCAGCACCTGAATAGTTCCCACACTCAAACTGAAACTTCGCGTACTGATACAATGCCTCAATCTGGTCTGAACCAATCAGATAAAAACATTGTACAACAAAACTAAGTTCCTAGAAACTAAAACACAAACCAAACAACACAAAAGCACAACCTGGTAACGTTCCTTTAGCATCTGGAGATTGTACAGTTGTACTGCTTGTCAGCTCTCAGCTACTGAACAGCATTAGGGTTCAAAACGAACGTAACAAGCGGTGCAGCAGCCTGCTCCAGAGAATTAAGCCTCGTCATTACCTCAGCTCTTCTTTGTGGTTGTTGGAAAACATCAATAATCCATACCACCCGTCATCTGTCTCAAAATAATTTTGGACCCTTCACAAAATAGTTATACTCTTTTTTTTTTACATATAATTATGATACCTCAAAATATTTTGAGTCCTTATTTATTTTTTAAAAAAAAATATAGGCCATTTTTCAATACTATTCATGTTAAAAAAAATTTAACACTGGATCAATGTCTCTATTGCCACCCATCAGAGATGGGCCTGCCACCCATAAAGCTATAATATAAGTAGATTAATATATGAGTTTTCGAGAACTCATGTGAAAACTCCCTATTAATTTTTTTTTTTTTACTTTGCTTTTTAGAACTCTACTCCCATTAACCATACTCTAATTTCTCAATTTACATTCATGAAAACACCACCCAGTTTAAAGAGAGACCAAAAGAAAATATATAACATAGAACCGAAATCAATTAACCAACTACCGAACCGAGCCGAACAACCCAAACAAACCGGACTCCAGGCCTAAGGGAAAAGTGTTTTTAAGTTAAAAAGAAAACTGAATCCAGAATTAACCAGAGGCGGAGGAGGTGGTGAAGTTATGGCAGAGGATCAGCTTCCGGAGACGTTGAAACCCTTCTTCCACAGAGCCACCGAAGCTCAGGTTCTTTTTCAATATTCTTTGAACCTAAAACCTTTATCGATTGAAACAAAGTTAGAGTCTTTTTGCTTCTCCCTTGTTCTTGGATTTGTCCATTTGATGACATAACAAACAATTCCTAAACCGTTAAATCTCTCAACTCATGTGTTGGTTTTGTAGGAGAGATTGGCTAGGCTTGAAGCTGCTCTTGCCTCCACCAAGACAGGTTCTTTCTTCATACTAATCTCTTAAGTTCTGAAACAAGAATTTTTTTAATTACTTCTGTGCCCGTTCTTGAAGTTATTGTTTTGTTCTCAGACGTTCAAGATGCAGAACTTGTGGAAAAGATCAACCAAATCCAGTCCAAACTCGAAGAAGCTAATGAGACGGTGAAGCAAGAAAAGGAGAAGGTAAACCATCTCTCCTCTTACAATTCATTACCTTGGTCTTTTCTTCCTTTGTGTGTTGGTTTTATAGCTTGTTTTGGAGTTTTGACTATTGATTTTACAACTAGGTGGAGAAACTGACCTCTGAGACCGAGAAGCAAAAGTACCGTATACTGCATCTTGTGCGTGCATTGAGGGATGCTGATGAGAAGCTTGAGAAGCTCTCAAAATGATTTGATTCTTTGTCTTTAATTGTAATGTGTTTCTGAAAACATCTTTACCAAGGTACTCATGATTGAATGGTATAAAAAGTTATCGGTTTGGAAAATAAACTTTGGGTCTATCTTGCCATGTTTTCTCTTGATGTGAGTGTCATAAGAAGCTCTGCAAGTTGCAGCTAAGCAATGTCTGTTGATGAACATAGTTTAGTCCAAATTTGAAGTAAGGTTTTGCTATTTTTCTTCTTAAGTAATTATGAAAAACACTAATGCCAACCACTCTGTAAAACCTGTTATGAGGTTAGCTATAATGTTTCAGCGGGTTTGCTTTTGCTATTTAAACAGATTCAAAATTTTGGTTGCTCTTTCGGTGCTTTTGCATTGACTGTTAAGTCAGTAGTTATCATATCATAGGAGTTACTTTGTTGATGACACCTGGCCATCATCTTGATTGCTGTTAGTGTCCACTGTCCACTTTCAACGTGCATGAATGGTGTTACTTCTGCCTTTAGTTTGTGGTGAACCTGTTCTTCATGCATAGATCTCTGTTGCATTTTCTTAATTGGAAATGACATTAGGTTTTGCATACTCTTGTTAGATTTATAAAAGTCCTTGCTTAGTTGCCTTTGGCTCCAGAAACATCACCTCCATGGTAAAAAAGTTAAAGTAGCATTGATTGTCATGTGTGATTGATCCTTCAAAGAAAATTACCCTCTGGCTTAAAGCAAGAAGATGATGAAACCTTTGCCGACTTAAGTGATGTTAGAAATTGAAGTATTAGAAGCTGCTTTAGCCAATTAAAATCTACACCTCGTTTGCATAAATTTGATTGAACTGCTCCGAGGAATGAGTCTTCAAATTTTAGTAGAGTTTTATCTCTTAATAACATCGGTATTGGTGAATATGTTCTCGTTCTTGATAGGGATTTTATAGCAGTTTGGATTGAACCAAAATGAATGTAATTTAATATTTTTTGTCTATATTTGTCTAAAGCCAGTGAAGATAATAGTTTAGTTTCTTGAAATTCGTTTAGTAGAGATAAAATTTATTCATGTTCTTTAATTGAATAAACTGTTTTAAAATCAAAGGTTCCTATTTGATATATATGTTCTAGATTTATATGGGGGTAAATGATCTTTTGATATTCTTGATTAAATGTTGTTATTTTTTACATAATTTTTCTTGAATTAATTGTTGAATATGATGCAGAATTGGATGCGTTTTTTATTATTTAAAAAGTCCCTAACGAAGACGCCATGATTTTAATCTAGTTTTAAATTCAGTATAGAAAGATACTAACCGATTCTTTTTTTTATAACACTGGATAATTATGCTATTACAAACTAAATATTACATACGATTCTACAAACATGCTATTACAAACTAAATATTACATACGATTCTACAAACATGCTATTACAAACTATAAGAAATATTACATATGATTCTACAAACGATAATTCTACCTGCCTTATGAGAATTCTCGCTTGACTGCATCACCTGAGCCGCCGTATAGGATCCATCATGAATAATACTCCTTACGCCATGCTGCGGATCTCTTGTAACTTTTTTCTATCTTAAATCGCATAATTTTGCTTTTTTCTAGAATTCGTAACCCATACCTCATGATATAAAAGCATTAATGAACTCTTAGTTAAACCACTGGACCAAGTGGGTTTCCACGTATTAACCAATTCTAGGTGGACACAGCTGAGGCTTACCAACGGTCTTACTGACTTCTTTCGACTTGATGCCTGGAACACCTACATTAACAGTGCTTTTAAGATGGTGAGGATCTATCTAAACGAGTTTATATCAGATTAACTTCACAGGAATTTCGTTTTAAAATCTTTTAAAACAAATTGCATTTGTTTTGAATAATCGTTTTGGCAATCTGATACCATTTATTTTTATCACTTTCTACTTAAAATATACTTTGTACTACTTTCTACTTATTATTATTTTGTTTTATTTTGATTAATCAAATTTCTAATATTATTTAAACTTGAAAATTGAACACAGTTTTGAGGATACATGTTTACAAATCTTAAAAATTCGAAAAATTTTAAGAGTTTTTTGAGAGAGNAGAGAGAGAGAGAGAGAGAGAGAGAGAGAGAGAGAGAGAGAGAGAGAGAGAGAGAGAGAGAGAGAAATTCATTCGTGTCCTCCTTGTTTATAATGGATGTGTATTTATAGTCAAAGGTTGGTTGAACAGAGTCTTGCAACGTGTCGTCCTTTAGTGGTGCCGACACTTTGTTTCATACGTGTTAGTGCCGACAGTTTTGAGTGGGCTGCTGCTAGGAATTTTGTATAGAGAAGTCTTCATGTGGATCCCATCTTTTTCAGACAACTTGTTGGTTATGCTTGCTTAGCTTTCGTCGTGAATCCTTAATAATTATACAGATATACTCTGTATATAATTATGTAGATAATAATATGAAAATGAAAATAGTAAACTAAATAGTAAAATACAGAAATAATGTACAAAATCTACTAGAATATACTCTGATAACTAAAATATAGAAATCGAAGAAATCTAGACATTATTTTTACGGTTTTTTTAAACTTCAAATGGATTTTGACCCTATGGGCCACCAAAAGGATCCTCGGGTTGGGTACTGTCTTGATTATTTCCGTCTTCATCTGAAGAGGAGGCCATTAGTTCGACTAGGAATTTCTTGAATTTTTCCTTGAGGGAATATTTTCGGGAGGATGATGAGATGGTTGAATTTGTTTGACTTTATGAGGATTTGTTTTTTATTTTTGGGGTCAAATTTGTTTGGGAAAGTTGACTGGAAGGGCTATTGTTCTAGAGACGGTTTGAATAGCTGTTTTGGTTTGGTTCAGAATTTGAAAATATTTTTGGATATTGGCGAGGGACATCTATTTAGGTTGTATTTATCCCACCATTTTACCCTGAATTCCAAGAGGAGGGAATATGGCATGTCTTGAAGAGCTATAGCTAGGGTAAAATACCATGAAAATATCCATGGTATGCCCATATCTATATGGAAAGATATCTTGTTTAGTGAACCCACTGGTTGACCAGGTATGTGCTTCTTGTAGACAGGGTAAGAGGTTTTGAGTACTTCTTCGGAGTAGATGGGGTCAGGTGGTCCGAAATAGTACCACCATTCTTTGAACCATTCTGGTATTTTTTTCGTACAGTTTTGGTCAAAGTTAATGAACTAAGAGTGGTCATAGGGTCTAATGTAGAAGACTCGGAAAAAAAGCATTTTGATAGTAGATGTAGATGTATCCTTGAATATGGTACGCAGGGGTTGAGAAAGGTTTTGTAGTGTGGTGGTGGATGAGGCCTTGTAAGATTTTGCAGGTTGAATAGGAGATATGGTTTTGTTTTGTCTCTGTAGTGGGCTATCTCGGCTGATTTAGAGTCTATTAGAATATACTAGTAGGTGAGGTTGATTATTGATATAGTCTGATGCTGTCATCGGCTTCTTATTTTTCTGATCACTCATCTTGAATATCTTGTTGTTGAGTATTTGTTGTTTTTTCCTATAAATATTCTCTTGTTAGAAAATCTGGTAAATCATTGTTATCTCCTTTAATATAATAAATATCAAAATCAAAGACTGATAATATAGCTTGTCATCTGACAAATATTTGTTTGATACTAGATTTTTAACATCCTTTTGTAATATTTATTTTTCTGATTTACAGTTTACTCTTAATAATTTTCGTATTGACCAAATCGTCTTGGAATTTTGAGATACAGTTTACAATAATAGAAAGAACTTCCTTTTTAACTGTTGAATAATTTTTTTGTGGTCTTAGCCAAAAGAGTGTGTTGATTAGATCAAGGTTTTGGGTTTGTTTGAAGTCTTTGAAATAAAGGTTGAATTGTTTTTAGAATGTTTGGTAGAAAGTCCGGAACATAGTTTAAACATCCTAGGAATCTTTGTAACTGAATTTTTTTCCCTTAATTCGTCGAGTAATTTATCTGTGAATTCGATTGATCTTGAATTAAATAGGTTTGATCGTTCTTTTTTTTTTTGGAATAAAGACATTTTCTTTACTGATATGACTAATCCATGTTTTTTAACTATGTTTTTTCTTTTTTGACATCAAACGGTTGATCTTTTTTAACTATGTTTAAAAATGTGTGTAAGTGGCTAATATGTTGATCTATTGGTGTTGAATATACTAATACATCATCTATGTAGACAATGGTGAATTTTCAATAATTATTGAATATATCATTCATTATATGTTAAACTTGAGAAGGTGCATTTTTAAGCCCAAAAAGCATTACATTCCACTTGTAATTCCCAAATGGTACCATAAATGTTGTTTTATATTTATCCTTTTCGGCAATTTGTATTTGCCAAAATCTACTTTTCATGTCAAATTTTAAATAACTTTTTGCGTTATAAAGTCATTTTAACAAATATATTTTATTAGGTATTTGATATCTTATCTATTATAATGAATCGTTTAGTGATTTATAATTTATTACTAATCTCGGTACTTTACATTCTTTTTCGGCTTGATTGTTTACATAGAAGGCCGTACAACTCCAAGGGGATTTGGATGGCCTAATTATTTTTGTCTAGTAAATCTCTTATTTCCTTTTTACAGTGTTCTAGTAATTCTTTATTCATTTGAATAAGTCGAGCTAATTCCTTTCTCAAAAAGCCTTTGGTAAATCAGAACACACTTGATTCAGTAGATCATTTTCTATAGATTTTATTTTGCTTATCATATAAGGTATTTTGAGTTGTTCCTCTGTTTTTATATACTATTTCATTTTGTAAATATTGAATATGATTATGTTTTTCTTTAATTAAGTTGATTTTTTTTTCTGAATAGTACTTTGTAGTAGGTACAATATTTCTTTAGTTTTCATTGGCGATAAGAATTCAAATGATAACTTAGTTCCCACGACTTTCGTAGTTACTCCTATTTTTGTTACTTTATATGGATATATTTGTGTAAAAAATGGAGTTCCTAATATTACTTCTTGTGTTGGATCTTTTACTAAGATAAACTGATTTTGAAACAATATAGTTGATTCATATTTTTGCGCATGATAACTTATAATGGACCTTTAAATTACTCCTACATATGCATCGGAGCCTGATGGTATGTCTTGGAAGCAGGCCCGACCTTGAGAATGTGTAACACAATATGGGTTGGAAGCGAAAAAAAATTTATGGACCTATAAAAAATAAAAGGGAAAATTCCATATAAATACTCCAACTAAATTTTATTAAGCTTTTTAATACCCAAACTTTTTCGCTACCCAGTTTAATACCCCA